AGGTGTGCGTTGCAGCCGGGCTGATCGCCGCCAGACACGCCGCAGCTGGCTCTGCCGGCCCCTCCGAGAGCGGAATAATTACAGCATCATCAAACATTTATAAATCCCCCCCGCGAAAAGGGATACATATTTTGATCAGGCTGCATTTTGGACAACCCAGGAAGTGATGGCTGCTGCCTTGAAGTGACCCACTAAACACGGAGGCAGCCGCATTTAGTAGCTACAGAGACTAATCTCTTCCACGTTGGTGATCTCAGAGATATGCCTTCGGCCTTTTTTTTGTTTGTTTTTGTTTTAACAAAACAACTCGAAAATCTAGAGTCAACAGGAGTTATTTCCCACATGCTGATTTTAAACCGTGTTAACGATTGGTCCTATGTCAATACACCTTCGGAGGATGCCCTGGCATTGCTAAAAAGCTTCCTCTCTGCGTACATAAACGTTATAGCTCTCCATGTACTGGCAATCTGCTTGATAATTAACAGTTCTCACACCCAGCTAGGCGCACGACCAACAGGTTTAGCATCAGACGTACAAAATCAGTTAACCGATAGAAGCCATCCTGTTAACTCATAAAAGCTTGCCTTGTTAATCAAATTTCCCTCGCAGTCGCCGGGGAAGTTACTGGAGCCCTGCCGAGGCAACCTGTTCTGGCGGGCACCGGCGAAGCAGCCCCTGCCCCTGCCCTTGCCCCTGCCCCTGCCCCGCTGCGGGCATCGGAAACCGCCGACGTGCCGCCAAGCTCAGCTCGCTCCCTCTGACAAGGGATTCAGGTTCTGAACACCCCGCTCGCGATACTTACATTCCTTCTTCTTATAAAAGAGAGATATGCCCCCAGAGCTAGGTGGTTAGGTGAATCTCCGGTGGAAAACAAAGATCCCCACGGTCGAGCCCCCTTAAAGCACAGAAAGCAGGCTCTTTCACGTCTCCAGAAATTCAGATCTTTCCCCTCGTCATCTCTGTTTAAAAGTGCCGCTTAGTTCCATAGCGTAATTCTTGCACGATTGGTTCTAAAAGAGTTAGAGAGCTTCCATCCAGAAAAATGGGAAAGAAATGCAAAAAGTTTTTTTTTCTTTTTTCCATATTGCTTCCTAAGCCCCAGAGTAGAAAGTGAAGTGTTGTATGTGAGGCTCTGCAAGTTTTTTGGGGGGGTTGGCCAAGGTCTAGTCCAGCCCTCTCTGCTGAGGAGGACGTGCTCTGAAATTCAACCAATTTCCCCAACGCTTTTGTTGCTGATGAACTGAAGCCCTATTGTTCATCCATTGCCACGGTCTTTTTCAGTTCCTACTATACGTTATGCGTTGCCAGAGATAATGAATTTGCACCAAAACCTCTCATAGTCCCATTCTGACAGACGGAACAAATTAGAAATGTCTAATCTAAAGAAGAGCAATGGCTACATTTTCCTAGAGAAGAAGAAGAGCGTACATTTTTTTGGAAACTTAAAAAAAATGCACCACATTGACGAGTTTTCTAAGGTATTTTCCTCCAGCTAACTTCTGAAGAACAGTTTCTTCTGAATCCTGCTTTTGGGAGGCACTGCCATTTTGTAACTTTTTTCAAAATCAGTCAACCGGCCAACAACAGCAGTGATAATAATGCTAACAAAAAGCATCTCCTCCAATTTCTGTTACCATGCAAACTTGTAGCGTGACCTCTCGCCAACACAGTGATTGCTAGAAGGAGGGTTTCCTAAAGCTTTGCGGTTTCCTTCCTTTCCTGCTCATTCAACGCTTCAGGTGCAAAAGCAGTGGCACAGACCCAACGTCTCGCCCATGAAACCGCCAGCTCGTTTTAGGGCGCAGGAGCCGGGCGAGAGAGATGCACGGTGCGGTGGGAGAAGTTTGGGTGTGTGTCTGAGCACGGGAGGTGTGCGGGGAGGGAGGGAGGGAGGGAGCGAGGGAAGGAAGGAGGGAGCGAGGGAGGGGAGGAGGGAAGGAGGGAGGAGGGAGG